TTTTTTATTTTGTGGTAAAATTATCTTCATTTTTAATGAAGAAAAAATTTACTTACTTCAAGAGTAAGTCTTGATAGATTTATTCTATTTAATAATTAATGTTCTATATCAAATTTTTAAGAATTTAATTGTTAAATTAAAAAGTTTTTCATGTATAGATCAAATTTATAAAAAAATTTAAAAAATTAAAAATCATATAATACTTCGTTAAATTAATTCAAATTAATATATAAAATATTTATTTTAAATGAATGTAAAAATTTAGAGGACACTAAAAGAAAATAAATTAATAATTTTATTATGTTTATCCTATTAATTTTTATCATTTTATTCCTCTAATTTTAAATAAGTTACAAAAAATTATAAAGTGACACTTAAATATTTTTTTAGATAGAAAGAGAAAAAGAAAAAAGTTATTACTCTATTATAAGGCAAATGTATTTTATAAAAATAAGTAATTTTAAAATTTTTACCATAAAAAAATAATTTTCAAAATTATTACATTTTTTAATAAAATTAATAAATAATTGGTTGTTCTGTTTTGGAACGGGCCATTCTGAAATCAGAACGGCCAGTTCTGGTTTCAGAACGGCCCGTTCTAGTTTCAGAACGGACCGTTCTGGTGTACTCTTGGTGTGTAAATTTTGCATTTGGAACGGCCCGTTTCCGATGCAAAATTAACACACCAAAAGCGCATTCAGAACGGGCCGTTCTGGTACCAGGTGTTTTAAAAAAAAATTCATCCACGTGGCATCCACCTATGCATCTAGGTGGCATCCACGTGACCAATAGTTAACTCCGTTAAAGAAATTTGGACGGAAGTCCCACATTGAAATCAATTAATTTATTAGGGACCAAATTGAAACTAATTAATTAGTTTGGGACCAAATTGAGACCAAAAATAAAAGCGAGACTACATTAAAATGAAAAACGATTATAAAGGACCAAAATAGGTATTTAGCCAAAGAGTAGGAGAAAATTATATTTCCTTATTATTATTATATATATATATATATACTAAAAAGAAATGAGTTTAATGATGATACAATAACAATGTATAGTCCAATCACAATTTAATATAAATGAAGTTTGTTGACTTTTATCCTAAATTTTCTTTTTACTTTAGTAAAGTTAGTTTCTCACCTCTTAAAATAATATTTTTTATGAAAATATTAAAAATTAATCGTAAGAAAATAACAATTTTGATATATCAAATTCATGTGAAAGTAAAAATTTTCTATCCACCAAACATCTCCTAAAAATTATATAAGGTGTGATTTCTAATTAATTGACAGTAAAATAACGATCCATTCAACCTTTAAATAAAACTTATTCAAAGTCAAAGGAACCAGGATCGCCGTGGTATTGAAGATTAATTTCTATATGGTATTTAAGTATGTTCTAGCACATCTAGAAATGGTAAATTAGACGGATCACTATTAATTCAATCTTGTGTTGAGTTTTCTTTTTTATTATTTACACAAGCATGAAATTAGTTTCTGTTGCATGCACGACTATTATACTATTACAATAATTATCTTGAGTGTTTATACAAAAGATGGTTCCTGCTAATTAGTTGACGCGATGTTAAACAAAATTTATTAAATCTAATTAATGCTCATCTATAAAAATTAAAAAATATATTAACAAATAAGCTTCCCTTTGCATCGTGATCACTCTCACTCCTCCTAAAGTGTGATAAATACTACAAAATTAACCCACAAAGAGGTGTGTAAGTACATGCATGTTAGTGTTTTGTTGAAGAAAACAAGTGAAAGTCTTCACAACATTTTTTTGCTACCTCACTTCAATTCTTGAGAAAATGAAAAACGATTATAAAGGACCAAAATAGGTATTTAGCCAAAGAGTAGGAGAAAATTATATTTCCTTATTATTATTATATATATATATATATACTAAAAAGAAATGAGTTTAATGATGATACAATAACAATGTATAGTCCAATCACAATTTAATATAAATGAAGTTTGTTGACTTTTATCCTAAATTTTCTTTTTACTTTAGTAAAGTTAGTTTCTCACCTCTTAAAATAATATTTTTTATGAAAATATTAAAAATTAATCGTAAGAAAATAACAATTTTGATATATCAAATTCATGTGAAAGTAAAAATTTTCTATCCACCAAACATCTCCTAAAAATTATATAAGGTGTGATTTCTAATTAATTGACAGTAAAATAACGATCCATTCAACCTTTAAATAAAACTTATTCAAAGTCAAAGGAACCAGGATCGCCGTGGTATTGAAGATTAATTTCTATATGGTATTTAAGTATGTTCTAGCACATCTAGAAATGGTAAATTAGACGGATCACTATTAATTCAATCTTGTGTTGAGTTTTCTTTTTTATTATTTACACAAGCATGAAATTAGTTTCTGTTGCATGCACGACTATTATACTATTACAATAATTATCTTGAGTGTTTATACAAAAGATGGTTCCTGCTAATTAGTTGACGCGATGTTAAACAAAATTTATTAAATCTAATTAATGCTCATCTATAAAAATTAAAAAATATATTAACAAATAAGCTTCCCTTTGCATCGTGATCACTCTCACTCCTCCTAAAGTGTGATAAATACTACAAAATTAACCCACAAAGAGGTGTGTAAGTACATGCATGTTAGTGTTTTGTTGAAGAAAACAAGTGAAAGTCTTCACAACATTTTTTTGCTACCTCACTTCAATTCTTGAGACAATGAAGGACACCACCGCCGGCGCCGCTGCGGAGAACGCTGCCGGCGGCGGCAATAGGGCACGGAGTTCCTTTAGCCACCGTTTGGGGAGAAGGGTCATGCAAGTCGGCATGTTGCTTGTTGTGTTTGGTGTGTTGTGGATGTTCCTATATAATTCTACCTCTTTCTTTGGATTTCCTTCCTTCTCACATTATTACTTCATTGATGAGTCACCAAAGGTGAGTCTCTCTCTATGTTTGTGTGTGTGTGTTGTGTTTTGCAATTGAAATTATTGGTGGTGAAAATTGAGGAGAATGGAAGGAGTGAATTTTGTTTGGAGATTAGGCTTTTGATGTATATTTTTCATGCAAACTAATAAAAAGATGAATTTTTGAATTTTGAAACTTGGGTTTTGATTAGGTTTTTTTTTTTTAGGATGTAAATATCATAAGTAGTATCTATTATAGGGGTTTTATTTTTATTTTTTTTTTATTACTGATCTGGTCTTCTTTTCAAGCTTGCTTCTGATTGGGTTGATCAAACATTTTGCTTTTGCATGTGGGTGAGTTTGATTATTCTCTATGCAAAACTTGAACCAAAGAACCATGCTTTTTGAATTATGCAAGCTTACTTGGTTGGGATGTTATTTGTTTATTCTTTTTCTTGAGGTAAATTTGTTCGAGATATTGCCGGATAAACACTAAATCTGAATTTGTTTCAGCGAGATTCGAAACTTGATTTGTATGTGAAAAATAGTCTCGTTTTTCCATGCGTTTTGTTCATTAAAAAAAAAGTATATTGTTTTAACAGAAATGAAAAAGATAATAACTGGTTGTGCATCTGTTTTATCGATGGGAGTTGAAAGAGAATTGCGATTGCCGAATGAAATAAAGAATAAAGATATAGTAATTTAAAAATGATTAAAGAGTATAATGAAATTTTCTACTCTATGCATCTACTTTTGATAGCCTTTTCCCTCATCTCCATCTAATTACCCTTTAAGCATGGCACTAGATAAAAAAAAATTCTACTCTCTTTGCATGTCATTTTCATTGGCATGTTTTGAATTGGTATGTTTGTAATTTTCATAGGCATCTTGTAAACTTTTAAGAAATTAAAACCCATTTTTACTTTTTATTTCGTCCTCTAAACATTTTTCTTAAAAAAACATTGTTAACATTTATATAATTAAAAAAAATGTGAGACTCTTTACATAAGGTTGTGATGAGAGGATTTAGAATATGTTTATCCAACATTATTTGAGTTTATCTAGTTAAGAAGAAATGTTTGTTCAAGCACTTTTAATAAAAATCACTTTAAAAAAAATTAACAACTTATTTTCATATATAGAACAAAACTTTTAGAAAAATAATTTTTAATTGAGTTAGTAGATAGAACTTTTCTACAATTTTTACGAAGTTTATTCACATACTCATTTCTTCTTCATATTTAAACTCGACCTTCATATACTATTTTTTTTCTCTTAATTTTCTAATAATTTCAGTTGTTTCATGAGCTTTCCCATCTAATAATTATTACTTATTTTAGTTTATTTTAAGGTGTGTTGATTTAATGTGAGGTATTAATTTGTTTTTAAATTATTTATTGTAAAAATTAATAAATAATTAGTTTTTTTAATTATCATTACATAAATCTCAGATTATTCAACTTCTTGCACACTTGATGCTATTACACTCTATGAAGGGATTGGATGACTTTTATCTTTTTGAAAAGCATATTGGAACTAAACTAGTTGTTAACCTCATAGTTTTTCACTTGTCTCAATATCCCTCTCATGTGTTTGATAAAATTCCTTCTGTGAAATGTCAACTTGGATTACCAAGTGTTTGATGAAGTGTTGCCTTTATGCATCAGGCTGATTGTGAATCAAGGCTAGAGGGTGTTCTTAGAAACGCATCTATGAAGGATAAGACAGTGATAATCACAACTTTAAATGATGCATGGGCTGAGCCAGGTTCCATATTTGACCTCTTTCTTGAGAGTTTTCAGATAGGAATCCAAACACAAAAGCTTTTAAATCATTTGGTGGTATTAACTTGGGACCAAAAAGCACATGCTCGTTGCCTTGCTTTGCACAAACATTGTCACCAACTTGAAACTAAAAGTGATGACAATTTCACCGGTGAAGTATTTTTCATGACCCCAAACTACCTACACATGATGTGGACAAGAACTAAATTACTTGGTTCTATCCTTGATATGGGATACAACTTTGTGTTCACGGTATACATATTATATATACATACACAAGACTTTTTTGGATGAACCTTTTCAAACTCTCTAGAAGAAGAAAAAAAATAGTCAAGAAAAAAATAGAAATAATATTCTCTATAAACTAAAATTTGCTTATAAATAAACTAAAAATAAAGTTTGGGAGAAACAATAATAGAGCTTATACAAATTAGTTTTAATTTGCATTAGTTTTATCTAATAGAAAATTTTAGTTCATTTTTTCTTCATATTTTTTTCTCTTAAAAGTTTTTATAGGGAAATTTATTTAAACAAAAATATACTTATTTTGCAAAAGAAACTTCTTGAGATCTTTACCATATGCACACACACACAACCACACAAGACAATAGATCTATTTGGGTAACCTTCTTCTTATACACTTTTTGAAGAAAAAATAAATAAATAAATAAATAAATAGGTTAAAATAAATCTATCTAGAAGTTAAAACTAATTTATTAATAAATTTAAAATAAAAATTTTTAAAAAACTAATAGGAAGTTTTTACAAATGAGCTTATATATAAGCTAATAATTTTAATTTATAAAACAACTTATTTCCTTTTTATTTTATTTTTTTCCCTCTTAAAAATATTTTTGGAGAAATATAATCAAACAAATCCGATGTATAACACTTTAGATTAAAAGTTGAATACACAAATTATTTTTCTTTTGCAGGATACTGATATAATGTGGCTTAGAGATCCCTTCAAAGAGTTTTACAAAGATGCTGATTTCCAAATAGCATGTGATTATTTCAATGGCAATTCCCATGACTTAAAAAACCTTCCAAATGGAGGGTTTAAATATGTGAAATCGAATAACCGATCTATTTGGTTCTACAAGTTTTGGTTCAACTCTAGGAATGTTGACCCAAGGTTGAATGAGCAAGATGTGTTCAACAATATCAAAACGAACCCTTTAGTTTCCAACATGAAGCTAAAGATTAGGTTCCTTAGCACTAGCTATTTTGGAGGGTTTTGTGAGGCTAGCAAGGACCTCAAGAAGGTCTCAACAATGCATGCCAATTGTTGTGTTGGTTTAGAAAATAAAGTCAATGATCTCAAAATTTTGCTTGAGGATTGGAAGAAGTATGTAGCATTGTCTGAAAATGAGAAAAAACAGTCACATCTTTCTTGGAGCGTACCACAAAGTTGCAGGTAATGTAAATGATTTTTGTTAATTATTGATTCATTTTTCAGAAAACACATTATAATTTTATTGGGTTAGAATAATTTCAATGTTTTAAAATATATTATAATTATCTAATATTTTCTTTTAGAAAAAAATTATGTACGAAAAGTTTAAAGTAATTTTACATTGTTAAAATCACAAATTACAATTATACTAAATTTATTGATTTTTACAATAATTACCTTAAAAATTATAAAACAATATCTTTTTATTGGTTGATTGTGAAAGAAGAAGAAAAATTCGCTAACGAAACATGGTCATTAAACTCTTTTTTTTTTTTTGTGTGTTGATCATAGATTTTTGAATTTGAATTTGACCTATTAGTGATAATCCGTGTACAAAAATATAATAGGATTAGTTATTATGTATATTTTTTTGTGAAAAATTGCCTCTGAAACTGTCGTGTAATTTTTTTTTATTAATATTTATAATAACTATTTTTTACATTTGTATAATTATTACTTTAAAAAATATGTTTGTCGTAATTTTTATTAATTAATAGTATGACAATCTATAAAAATTAAATTCTATATTTTAAATTAATTATAAATTTGGATAATATGCAATTCTACTCACTACAAGAAAATTGATATATAATAATAACACACACCTGATAGTGACACTATATATGTCACTAAAAATTATTTTTACATATACAATAAATATAATATATATTAGTATATTGTGTGTAGGTATAGGCTATAGTGACACACAAAATATGTTGTTAAATCTTATTCAAAATAAACGCTAAAATTATGTGTAATTATATGTCAAATAGATATATATCTACATATATTGTGTCTATAGTGATATTTTTTGTATGTCATTATATATAATATTTTTTATAATGACTCCGAATAAATTTACAAGAGTTGAAGAAGAAAATTGAGCCTGATAATTGATAAGAATAAAATCAAAATTTGACTAAACGGGTGGTTGGATGAGATGAAGTTCCACAAATCACACGTACAAATGAAAATAATAACATGTCAATTCATTTGGTAGAATATATTGTTTTTTAAGAAAAAAAAACTATAACATATCTAATTTTTTCTACTGCAAACATCATTTAATGGAGGGTTCAATTAATTTATGTTGCTATAATTAATGGATATCGTTTTCTGTCTCTATTTGTATATATAATGTTCAAAATTGTTGACATCATGCAGGACGTCCTTTCAACGTGCCAAACAAAGGAAGGAAAACTAAGGGAGGTTGTATAAAGATAGTCAAATTGTATGATATTCTTTAACAAAAGCATATTTCTTTTTTAGAAAATATTGTAAATTTTTTTTATTTTTTTCTCCAATTAAACAACCCAATAAGTAATTATTTTCATAATTTTAATTACAATGCACAGATAGTATAAATAAAGTTTTTTTTTTCTTTTTTACTTTCATCAACTGGTAAATCTATAATAATATTATATACTTTTTGTAATATTATTTTACTAGTAAAATTAAAGTAATTTTTAATTACTTGATGAGTATAAAATATCTGCATTTTATAATTTATTTTTTCTTTTAACTTTGCCCTAGGAGTTTTTTAAATTGATTTGGTTACGTTTATCCTTTGATTTTGAAGGTTGGAGAATGATTCACTCAAATATTGGATCTGCGTTGCCAAACTAATCCTTGTGTCATGGAAAGGAAAAGTGTAGAAATGGTACCCACATCACATTAAAAATGTGGTAAACAGATAAAAAAAAAAAAAACTTCATACTTCTTTCAATACTTTTATGTTTGTAAGAGTTTAATTTCTTTTTTCTGTTCAAAATTGTACTATATAAGTTGAGAGTGAAAAAAATTCTCCCACTCATGTGATAGTAAAATAATCTTTAGATATATTTTGTCAAAATAAATGAAAAGTCATTACATTTTATTTTAATCGACCATTTATTTAGTAATATATTCAAAAGTTATTTTTAATCTCACATGAATAAAAGACTATTTATAATAGTTAGTTTAAATGTAAAACTCTGTATAATTATTTAAACTTCTATAATTGGGTCGGCTTTAGTGATTTTAATAGTGTAATCTATCTTTGGTTCAATTTTCCATTCTTATTTTGTTTACATTATTGTTTTTCTTTCTTCTTTTTTTTTTTTTTAAATGTTGAGTTGGTGAAGGCTGAAGCCCAAATTGTTGATTCTGATCATCAGGCTTAGCCCAACAAATATTTTTTTGCATTGTTTCCACTGGATCACTATTTTGTTTAGTTGTCCAGTGTTGATTTAAGGCCTGGTTTGTGTAGTTATATATTTCCAGGGTATACTATTTGCAGCCCATTTCTCTTTACACCCTCGGCCCTTTTTTTTTTTTATACTTTTTTTATAAAAATAACTAATTAATAACCCATACATATGCAAAGGTATTTTTTTTTTCTAATTACTTGTGAGATAAGTATTATTTAAATAATTTTGTATTAAATTAAAATAAAATAATAACATGAAAATGTGTGTAAAGGAAAAATTATGATGCAAATTATATATTAGATACAAATGAAATTCATATTTATGAATTGTTGTAATATAACAAAATATGATCATTCTACCTTTGGTTAAAATATTTAATTGAATAATACAAAATATTATATGAAATGTAAGCATCATATTCTATGCAGTTAAATAAATAAGTTGTAGAAGTCTAATTACAAAATAATTGAAATCATGCTAATACAGATAATGTAGTATTCTTCAATCGACTATTTTAAAAATTAAACTATCAAAATATATAAAATTAAAAAAAATACGAAAAATGCAGTACTTACACATAATAGTTGAATTTTTAACAAAAAAAACTTCTCTCTTTTTAGACATTAATTTTTGTTATAAATAAGACAAATCACTTATGTAATAAAGCACTTATTTGACTAACATGATATTAACCATAATAACAAATATATATATATATATATATATATATATATATTATGAAAAAAATTCTACAC